TGCCTCACCCTGCATCCCTGTTCAGCATGGAAGAAGCCAGAGCGGTCTGCGGCCCGATTCCATATCCGCAAGCTGGATAACCTCTTCAGAGGATGGTGTGATAAGAATAGGAGGTAGGAATTGGCTAGGCAGTTAGGGTAAAAAGACCCCAAAGAAAAGTAGCCAGTTTCTTGGCTAAAACTCAGAATGTCCTTGGGCCTCTTAGCAGCATACTCTGTTCCAAAGGCCAGAATGTTGAAAGTATTTGGGAGCTTTTATCTAATCCTTAAAAGATTTTAGGGTTACGGGGTGGGGGGGATGTTACAGTAGCCAAAAGCCCCATTAAAAAATAAATGAAGAAGAAGAAGAAGAAGAAAGAAAATGATTCAATACAAAGCAACCCAGGCCCAGAGGTGCTCCAAGAAGCACAGATCTGATCCCAAGAACAGAGCTAGTTCAAGGTGTAGAGTGGATTCAAGAGGCAGGGCTGGGTCTAGACAAACAGCAATTCATGTGGCAGCATCAAGCAGGGGGACAGGGTCTGGAGTTCATCTGTTGGTCTTGTGACGGGGTCCGATAACAGATTTGGTGGGTCCTGTTGTGCCCATGGTGAGATGTCCCTCTTTTCATGTGATCCTAGTCGGGGTTGCATCACTTATTGGTGTGGTGTGTGAGATAAGTTCACAGACCTGGATTTTCTGATATGGATTTGATATGCCCGTATGTCCATTTGTTCCTGACTTAATCTGTTGATAAGTGGTAATATTTATTTGTGTAATATGTTATCAGTCTGTGCCTGGTGGCTTGTGTTGGACAGATGGTAGTTGTTAAATAAGACGAAGGGTTATTTTCCCTCAGCATTTGCAGTAAAACTGGAGCAAACTGCCATTTTGTAAAATGGAGTCACTCAGGACAAGGCACAGCCTGAAGGTCACTGTTTTATGTGATATGGAGTAACTTAGAGTAGGGCTTAGATTGACCTAGAACACAATTTCACAAACCTGAAAAGCAAAAGCTTAACAACAAGAATACCTGGTTAGTTCCACTCATCACTACTCTGTCTGTACACAGCTTAGAACTTAAGGACAAATAAGACATTTGTAGATGTATGAAATATTACATTGTATGCCAACACTGAAGTACAAGAGGAATATTATGAAAAGCCATTGTCAAATTAATTTTTACTGGGAGACATAAAGTAAGGCTTCACAAGGAATGTGGCATTTGACAATGCAGGGGAGCAAGATGAGGCACCAGGAAAGCACAGGGTCTATTCTGGAACTCCAGGTGGGTTGGTGGAGAGTGGCAGGAGATCAAATAGGGTACAAAGATAGAGGTGAGATTTTAAATCCATCCATCTATCTATCTATCTATCTATCTATCTATCTATCATCTATCTATCATCTATCTATCTATCTATCTATCTATCATCTATCTATCAATCTTCTATCTATCATCTATCTATCTATCTATCATCTATCTATCTATCTATCAATCATCTATCATCTGTCATTTATCTATCCTCTATCATCTATCTATCTATCTATCTATCTATCTATCATCTGTCATCTATCTATCCTCTATCATCTATCATCTATTTGTGTACGAGTGTTTTGTCTTCATATAAGTGCACCTGTGTGGTACAGTGCCCACAAAGGCCAGAAGAGAGCATTAGATCCCCTGGAACTGGAGATACAGATGATTGTTAGCCACCATGTTGGTTCTGTGAACTGAACCTGGGTTCTCTTCAAGAGTAGCCAGTGCTCTTAACAGCTGAGCCATCTCTCCAATCCCACAGTCAAATTTTAAATAGACACTATTATCAAATATCAGTTGTGTGATATTTAATTGCTGTGCACTTAAAAATTACTAAAGGCTTTTGAGAACAGGAAATGAAATAATTAGAGCTATGGTTTAGGGAATGTAAATAGTGGAGTGACAGGTTGAAGAGATTAGTTATAAGACTTTACTCTGATCCTGTGACAGGGCAGGAGCATCTAATGCGGTGGAACCTGGAGAGCTGGGGAGCTAAGACTGAAAGAAATTCTGAAGTTCCCAGAAATAGTCTGTGTTCAAAAACTTGATGAGAATGTATAATTTTGCTCTGTAGTTCATATACAATCATATACTAATTCCTGTGAATAGGGCACTGTGCCAAGTGCATATGTAATAATCATTGTCCTTTAATTATACCTATGGAAATGAAGCTTCCTGGGGCTTTGTGAAGCATTTCATAGCAACTTTATTGAGATAGAATTCATATAACAATACAATTCACTCATTTAAAGAGCACAATTCAATGCATACACAAACATGCTAGTATGTTCAGCGATGTGGAATCAATTTTAGAATATTTTTGACATTCAGTAAAGATATCTGACTCTTTAACCATTCCAATTTTCCTATCAACCATCAATCTATTTTCTTATAGAGTTGCTTATTTAGCACATTTCCCATAAACTAATTCACATAATATGTAGGGGGGTTTTAATGACTGACTTCATTCATTTAACATAACATTTTCAAAGTTCATTCATGTTGCAGCATGTATGGCTGTTTGGTTTTGGGACAAGGCCTCATGTAACCCTCTAGCTCACTCTATAATAGCCCAGGATGGCCTTGAAGTTATGATCCTCCTACTTCCAGGGCTGCTGGGATAAAGGGTACATACCACCATACCCAGTCTATGCAGTGCTGGGGACTGAACTCAGGGCCTCATGCATGCTAGACAAGAATTCTCCAACTGAGCTATATCCCTAATTCTGTATGATTCTTTGCTATGCTCAAATAATAGTCTATTAAATGGATATACTATGTTTTTTTATCCATTCACCCATCAATGGCTGAAATTTCTAAAAATGTTCTAGAAAATTTCTCTGCCAAATACTTATGCTTGAAGTAACTGAGCTAGGAAAAGACACATGTATTTGGCCTGTATAGCAATTTCTGTTCCCATATTGTATTCTTCATCTTTAATGACCTTCTCTACCCCTCTGTTTCTTAGTCATTAATACATACCTAGGAATTTTTGGCTCTTATCTACTCAAGCGGGTTGCAACCCTCCCAAATATAAGAAATGGATGTTAGACATCATTGAAACGTCATCTGGGACCCTTAATGCCCCTTTCAGCACTAAGAGCATTGTTAAGTGTCAAAGGCCTGACCTATAAAAGGTAGAGCGAATTGTTAACTCTCCTTGGTTATGACTATACTTTTTCAATTTATTTGGTTTGCTGTTTGAGATAGAATCTCATTGTGTAGGGTAACCTCAAACTAGAAATCCTCCTGCCTCAACCTTCCAGTGCTACAATGACTGGCTCCCTTTTATCAATTTAAACTTCTTGCTACTTCATTTTTAGAAATACCTTGTGAAATATTAGTATTATATGGAAGACAGTGTGCAAACCACTCACCTAGTTGATGCAATGAGTAACAATCAGCATTTAAGATGAAATGGTTGATATGCTTTGGATTAAGGTTCACTTTACTTGACCAGTCAAAGCCCTCTGTTTCTTTTTAAAAAATTTTATTTATTTTTATTTTATGTATATGAGTGTTACGCCTGCCTGTATATAAATGCATCATGTGTATGCAGTGCCCACAGAGGTCAGAAGAGGGCGTCAGGTCCCCTGGAACTGGAGTCATGGATGGTTGTTAGCTGCCATGTAGGTGTTAAGGTTCACTTTACTTGACCAGTCAAAGCCCTCTGTTTCTTTTTAAAAAATTTTATTTATTTTTATTTTATGTATATGAGTGTTACGCCTGCCTGTATATAAATGCATCATGTGTATGCAGTGCCCACAGAGGTCAGAAGAGGGTGTCAGGTCCCCTGGAACTGGAGTCATGGATAGTTGTTAGCTGCCATGTAGGTACTAGGAACTGAGCCCAGGGCATCTAGAAGAGCAGTCAGTGCTCTTAACCACTAAGCCAGCTATTCAGTCCTTCTCTTTGTTTCTTATAAAGTATTTTTTAAGGATTTATTCTGCCATAAATTGTACTGAAAAAAATTTTGAGAATATTATTTGAAAGAGATCACCACATAGTAAATTATGTGAGCAGTGGATGGATCCATTTATAGTTAACATCGAAGACTTGGAAGGAGTCAGACGATCACTCAGTTACTGCTCTTTGCTTTTAACTTGATCCTAGATAAACTCTGAAGTAAATACCAGCAGAGAAATCATTTCAGCAGAATCGTATGTGTAATGTGGATTACTGTTGAGTCTCTGGTCATTGATGTTTCCTGAAACACAGCATGATGCAGATCAGAGAAAAGTGTTATTAAAGTCTGGCCAGTCTAGAAGTGTGTTGTTAGCTCTGGCCTCTGATTCTAAGTGCTAGCGTTATAACTGAAGCTTACTACCTTTCTCATTCAATTCAGCTTCAGTACTGAAATCTTTCCTTGAGTGAGTTGGGCAGTTCTTCCTTCAGGGGCATAAGGCAAAAGAGCTACCCTCCTCCAAGCTCCTCTGTCTTCGGTACATAAGTTTCCCTATATGTCTTGATGCAGAGCTGACAAGAACTGGAGATGTGATAAGCAAGTGCGGTTAATTTGGGTTCCATCAAGTTATATTCAGAACAGAACTCACACATGAATATTTACCCAGGGAAGGCAGACCAAAGTGAGGACATGCTGTCAATTTTCTACAGAAAGAAGCTGCAAAAAGGTTAGACTTTGGTGGTGTAAGAGGGTTCATACTTGCATTTCTGTTTGGTAATATTTTGGAGCACCTTTAAAATTACTTTGATCTACTGGAATAATTAAGCACACCACTTATGCTCTCATCTTGAGGAGATAAAACTATTTTAGCAGCTCCTTGTGAGACTCACAAATCTACTTCTTGTCTTTCCTATCCTCTTCCCCTTTCCCTCCCCTTCATTATTTATCTCAAAAGACTAAAGGCAAAATGGGGCGGGCTCATTCGGACTGGGCGTAAATTCATGCTTAGGTACCTAGGGCATCCTACTTTTGGTGAAATAATTTTCTTTCTTTTTAGTGACATGATATTAGACATGATACGTGATCTTAGTAACTTCAACTACCTCAGCCAGAGTAAATTGTTATTGTTCTTGTCAATAATAATGAACATTTCTGAATGCTTGCAACATGCCGGGCACTGTGCCTGTTTTTATGCATTATTTCATGTAGTCTTTGTTGTATCTATTTGAGAGTGAAACCCTGTTGCCACCCTGCTTGACTGGTGCCAAGAAACTGAGATTGGCATCCTGGTAGCAGACCCTCCCTTCTTCAAGCCTCTGCATCAATGAAACCCGAAGAAGTCTCTTAATTCTTAGTGAACCAAGTGCCAGGAACCTGTTAACTATTAGGGAGCAGAGTGCTATTGTCCTTATGTTATGGGGGGTTGGGGTGGCTAAGACCCCTGTAGTCCTCTGGACAGTAAGACACTAAGGTACCTTGCCCAGCCCTCTTCTTGCCTTTAGTGTCTGGGTTCTGGGCAATTACACTATTGCCTTTGTCATCTTTCAAGGTGTATTCTCCAATTCTGTAGCTTACCACGCTCATCTAAATCAGACAAAAACTGGGCACTGTTTTCTGATGACTGAGATACTGAAGCAAGTGTGGGATGCTAGATTATGTCACTGATTTTATAAAGGTAACCTTCTTGGCTTTCAATTTCCTTACCTTTAAAATGAAAGACCTGGAGTGGATGGCTGCTAAAGTCTTCAAATATATTCATCTTTGTCCAAATCCATACAAGAACTGACCTCATTGTTTTATCTGAGGTTCTGAGTGAACGGAGGCTGAATGATTGATGTCTTCTATTCTGGTAGAGTGGAGCTGACTGACCTGGGTGTGAAGGAAAAGTGAACATCTTTACACAGTGTTCTAGGTGTTTTACACACTATCTCATCTAATTCCCTGTGGTTTATTGTCTTCATTAATAAAGAAAGCAGCCACACAAATCTCTGAGGAAACCAGGGCTCAGAGTGACTAGCTAGTCAGTGGGTTCACTATGTGAGGCCAGTTCTCTTTGGACTGAGTCTCCTCACTGTTTCACAGGGCATCTTACACTCCTACATTCCTTGTAAAGGGCGTTTGTTTTTAGTTTGACGCTCATGTTTATAAGGGACTTTTTGATGACTCTTCTGTTGATCAGTTTATGTCTGTTGGAGATTTTGTGTGGCATTATGAGTCTGAGAACTAATCAGGTTATTTATGTACCGCCAGGCATTTGCAACCACAGATTTCCAGCCTCAAGAATCTGCCTATTTGATCAAGCATTTTTTTTAACCTATCTATCTGAAATGGCTTAGCAAATACCTAAACTTCCTGATTTAGTAAATTAACAAGGGATAAGGGACCATCATTGACAATACTTCAAAATTATAGATTTCATTTTCTTTTGTATAAGACTTAACTCAGGCTGGTAAGATGGCTCAGTGGGCAAAGGCCCTTGCCATGTAAACCCAATGACCTGAGTGCAATCCCAAGAGCACATGGAACCCAGGTGGAAGGAGAGAACCAATTTGACAAAGCTGTCCTCTGTCCTCCACACATGTGCTGTGGCATGCATGCCCACAAACACACATCATACAAACACACATAACAGCAACAATATAATACATTAAAAAGTATTTAAATTACATTTTACCCATTCATGTCATTTTCTAGGTGGAGGAACATGAACAGTTTTAACAAGGTCAACAGGTGAATCTGCTGGCAGCAGAAATGATGGTCAACTTAGGACTCCTCGCTCTCAGCATCACAGTCTCAGTACCAAATCCACTTGAAGGATTACAGTCTCACAGAAAACAAACTACTGCTGTCCCCAGATGATAATGCTGCTGCTTTTGGTGGTGACAATCATAAATAATCATATATATTATATTATGTTAAAATACCATTCTAAGGGGGCTGGAGAGATGGCTCAGCAGTTAAGAGCACTGGCTGCTCTTGAGAGGACCTGGGTTCGATTCCCAGCACCCACATGGTGGCTAACAACTAACTGTAACTCCAATTCCAGGGGAATTCAACACTGTCTTTGATGGGCATTGCACAACACTGGTGCACTTATATACATGCAGGCAATGCACTCATAAACCTAAAATAAAATAAAACAATAAATAAAATAAATTTTTAAAAATACGCCATTCAGCTGGGCGTGGTGATATATGCCTTTAATCCCAGCACTTGGAGGCAGAGGCAGGCGGATCTCTGAGTTCAAGGCCAGCCTGGTCTACATAGTGCATTCCGCTATGGGGATACAGGAGACCCTGTCTCAAAAAGACCGAAAAAGAAAAACACCATTCTAGGGGCCAAGGACATGGCTCAGTTGGTAAAGTGCTTGCAGTACAAGCATGGGGACCTAAGTTCAGATCCCCAGCACCCACATAAAAGCTGGACATAATAATACATGCCTGTAACCCCATCCTTGGGGATGGGCAGAGACAGGTTGATCCCTGAAGCTCAGTGGCCAACCAGCCTAGCCAAATAGATGAGCTTCAGGCTCAGTGAGAGACCTCGTCTCAAAAATAAGGATAGAGAGTAACAGAGGGAAGATACCTGACCTCAACTTCGGGCCTCCACATGCACATACAGGAACCCACATGCACACATCACACACAACATACCACTAACACATACACACACATGCCCCCCCACATGTGCACATGCACTCACACATACACATGTGCCCATGCACACAAACCACACACATACACATAAATAATTAGGCCCTCTGATAATTTTAAATATAATTCTATACATAGCAATTTTGTTTTCAGGCCTATATTAGTAGGAAACATTTGTTTTGCTAAACATTTGTCCTCTAATGTTTCAGAGCAGTGTTCATCATCTAGGGCCAGGGGCATAAACTGCAGCATGGGGAATCTTGAGGCTGCAGAGTTCATTTGCTCTTCCTTGACTGTGTTGCTGACCCATCTGGATTCCCACTATGTCAAGGATTCTGAAAAGGACTGAGTGAGAGGAGAGGGTATGGACCAAGGCCAGAGTCAAGCAAGAATCAGGACAGAGTGCTGGCAGCTGATGATGGTTAGTATCTGTGTGCTTTGCAGAACATTGAGCTGAAGGTCGAAGTGGAGAGCCTGAAACGAGAACTTCAGGACAAGAGACAGCATCCGGATAAAACCTGGTGAGTTGCGGTTTGAACCCTGTGCAGAGCAGTTTGAGCCTGGGAGCACTGTTCCTTCTCCAGAGACTGGCTCACCAATCTGAGAGTGATAGCCCTAAACCACAGCCCTTAACCTCTTCCTTCGCGTTTGAGTGTGGTGTTCAGTTTGGGGTTTGAAATCATGGATTTCCTGCTTCCTTTCCCTTTAACTTTTCTATTCAGATAGACTTTGCCATAGATTGGTAAATCCTCTAGACCTAAGACTATAAACTTCCTGTTAAACAATAAAGAACCAATCAGGAAACTGAATGTTTCCACTTTTAATATAAAGAGATATTTGCAAATAGCCTTTGTCAGAGACAGTGAATCATTCCAATAAAATCAAGGGTTGACATAACGTTTGGGAGAAATGGGCACTCTCATACTCTTCTGGTGGAAATGAGAATTACAAAATCATTTTGGTATGGGATATTACCTTTAAAAGTGAACAAAAATCAGATGATCTGTAGACAAACTGGGGTAAAGCTCTGTCATTCTTTGTAATGACAAAAAAAAACCAGCATCCACTTATGACTGAAGGTATTTTAGTACAACCATCTAATGGTTTAGCTGTTGAAAAGAATGTACTTTGTATTATTGTTCTGTTAGGAAAGCCTTGGCAGAATAAGTGAGGAGGAAAAGTGTTAAGTGATGTTCGATAACGTAAGTCCCTTGGGATAATGACTAACAGTTCTTTCAATGTATACATGCAGTTGCTTGATTATACATAGAAAAAAAAATGGAGGGTTGCTAGTAAACACATGAAAACTGCTTACATTAGGGGAGTAAGATCAGAGTCTATGATTGGAAGAAAACTTGATTATTTTTCCTATATTACTCTTGTTAGAATGGTTGTTTTTAGCCAGGTGTGGTAATGCATACCTCTAATCCCAGTACTTAGGAGGCTGAAGCAGGAGGATTGGGAGTTTGAAGCCAACCTGTGCCACTTAGCAAGTTTGAGCCCAGTGTAGACTGTTCAGTGAAACTTTGTCTCAAAAAAACAAAAGAAAATTAGTTTTATCATTGTGGTTTCTGTCTCTTATTTTTGTTTTTGTTTATTTGTTTGTTTTGGTTTTTTGAGACAGTGTCTCTCTGTAGCCCCAGCTAGCCTAGAACTCACTATGTAGACCAGGTTTACCTTGATCTCACAAGATCCACCTGCCTCTGCCTCCCTAGTACTGAGGTTAAAGGTATGAGCCACTATGCTCAGCTACTTTCTGTCATATTTTTTTAAAAAGTTTTAAATGGTAAGTGTCATAATATATCCTGTGATCCATGTATGTTCAATCTGATCTTATATTCCTTTTATATCTACAGTAGTTCTTAATATTTAGAATGATACCGAATCATACTGGAATACTCAAAACCACACTCAGAGAAATGCAATTGTTGGAATTATGTTGAAATTTCTAAATGCCCAAGCAATAAATGAAAGGATTTTCCTTTTAGGGTTGAGTCTTCAGGGCCATCCATTAAGAAAGTTTATTTGCTATCATAAAATAGAGAAAACTTGTAATAACAACTGAGTAATACATTTTGAGATGTTTGTAATACTTTAAAATTTTTATATCATCTCTACTTTGATTTAGGCAGCATACTGTTTTGAAACATGAAGATATCTCAGATGAATGGTAAAACCAACCTCTCTGGTATCAAGTTCGAGGGTCTTCTTGACTTTAGAACAGCTGCCTCCTAAATCAGGCATTCCCAGAAAATGTGCAGCCTTCACTCTGTAAAGCTTGTGGTCAGTGATTTTCTATTGAATTTATCAAGAGATACAGAATCATAGGAAAAGTTGATTCCTGAGATTTACCACTTTGGAAGCTGTGCGTTAGTTCTTTGACTATTGTCTCTTGCACACCCAAGACCTTCAGAGTTCCCAAAGGCTGTAAAATGACAAGACAGTGGAAGATGGAGCTAGCCTTTGGATGGTGCTAAGTAGCATCCACCATCAATCAAGGAATCCTGTAATCTTTTGGGAAGTCCAATTTCATCTCCACAGACACAACCTCCTGATCCAAATGTTAAAGCACACCAGGGTTGGTACTTCATGAACTGTACTGTGCTTCAATATTGTTCTTGGTTCAGAGAACAAGACGATGGTTTGTGGTTCTCAACAAATGACTTAAAATGGGAATAAAACCCAACCGGAATTAAGAGCTCTCAGCACCTGATACTGCCCCCTAATTTCTAATCCTCAGTTATCCAAGGACAGCTGTTGTCCACTATAAATAAACTGGTGATACCTTACCCGCTTCATGTTAGTGCCTAGACAGCCATTCCTAGGGATATCAGAGAAGCAAAGTGTGGCCTAAACCCTGATCTTCCACAGATTAAATATCTGCTGTCTGCGGGGACCATGAAAGGTGGATAGACCTCTGCAGAAGCGGCTCTGATTCAGGGCAGTCCTCCATGCATTCCTGTTTGTAAAGGAGGGGGGCAGGCCTGTGGCTGTACAAATGAACATCCTGTCCCAGCAACATAAAGTGAATGAACACTAAATTCAAACAGCAAGGGGCAGGTGAGTAGCAAAGCCCTCTAAAACAGTTTAGATGGGAAAGTTTAGGGATAGATGACAATGACCATGGGAGTTAACTCTTTGCCTTCTCAGTGAGAGTTCCTCTTCTTGAAGCTATGGCAATAAAGACGTCTCTAGGCAGCAGGACTCCCCTGCTAG